CTCAATTTGAAGTTGCTTTAACCTTTTATTATTTTTTCTATTTCTTAGTTAGACTAATATTATGGCCTACAACATTCTACTAAACAATAGATTATTTAGATAGATTTGAGGTTGAAAACAAGTTGATAGTGTTTTGGTTGTACTGTTTTACTAATTAATTTTATAAGTTTGGGATTCTGTAGTCAAATACTTATTACATGTTTTAATGTTCAACATTTTTCTAATATAACAAATTCAAAATAGTACGACACATTCTCACTCCTTTAATATAATATAGTAATATATTGCAATAGAAAACAAAAATAGCAATTGTAGTCATTTAATTTATATATAACAGTTTTTTAAATGTTAGTCTTTAAAATATTTGGCAACACTTTTGTATTATTACTAGCAAATACAACATGTGAAAAGATTATTTAATACTATGACAAAAGGTAATAATTTTGAATCGTCTCCTAAGGTGGCAACAATTTTCATTTGTTGTCTTTGTAAAAATGTTGTCTTAGGTATTATTTTACCTTGGCTTTTAAAATTGTTGTCTTTGTACGAAAATGCGTTGCCTTATGAATAGACAACGGGGGCATAAACTACGCCTCATATGTGTTGCCTTAAATACCAGGCAACATTTTTTTAATATTAGGGAATGGTTTTTCATTGTTACCTTAGCTTCATTTTGTTGTAGTGATACTTCCTTCGTTTCATAATAGATGACACATTTCATTTAGGCATGCTATTTAATGCATAATTTCTAATGCAAATATCCTTGATTACGTGATAGATGTTGAGACGAATCTAACAAGATATCACATGACTACTTTATCTCAAAACAAAATCATAAAATGAAGTCAAAGCAAGTTATGTGAATAATATACAAAGTCAAACTATGTCATCTAATTTGGAACAGAGGAATTACACGACAATTCTATGTACCGAAGGGTCAAGTTTGTGAGCCTAAGCAAGCTCATACATAGTCCGCCCCTTGCATAGAAAAAGCCAAGGTGTTGTATTGTAGATAATTAAGAGGGTGATCTTTGGAGAAATTACCTCAAATCACATTAGCTTTTTATTATTTAGAACTTTAAGCAATTGGAAAGTACTTTTACACCATAATATAATGCTCACGAAACACACACTACACACACACACACACAACAATGGTACACAAACCATCCATAATAAGCAAGCTTAACTATTACTTAAGTGGTCATTAATTAAACCCCCGTTTTCAGATTAGAAGAAGGATGAAGAGTAGGAATTACAAGCAAGTGATCTTTCCTCTTCATTGTCAATCCAAAAGATTCATCCATGTCTAGATCTCGTGGTCGCACTCCATCTGGTAACTTCCAATCGAAATGATAGAGCAACATAGCAAGTGGTAGCTCAACCATAGCTACACCTAATGCCATGCCAAGTCACCCTCTCCTACCCGCGCCAAAGGGAAGCAACTCGTAGTTGCTTCCCTTGTAATCAATCAATGAATCTTCAAATCTTTCGGGATAAAACTTCTCAGGCTCAGGCCAATACTCAGGATCCCTACCAATAGCCCATACATTAATAATGACACGTGTTTTTGCTGGAATGTCATACGGATATATTTGGCATCTCTCCATCGATTCTCTAGGAGCTAAAAGAGGAACCGGGGGATGTAGTCGTAAGGATTCTTTGATTACATGTTTTAAGTACGTAAGTTGGTTTAACCTCGACTCATCAACTGCCCCTTGTATGTCTTTGTATACTCGTCGTACCTCAGCTTGTGCCTTCTCTAAAGTTGTTGGGTTTCTTAGGAGTTCCGACATTGTCCACTCTATCATTGACGATGAATTTTCAGTTCCTCCTCCAAGTAGCTCCTATAAATTAAACATGCGAATAAACGTTATGAAATTTAACGTGAAGTTTAATCCAATCAATTAAGGTAATAAACGTGAAAATAATGAACTTATTGGCTTGTATATATACACTAACCTCAAGTTGTTTAGAATAAATAATATAGTCAAACTTATTAACTTAGTACATATACATTATACATGTAACAGATCGATTCAATATTTTGACTTCATTTTTATATAATTAAATGTTAATGAAAATTATTTTAAAAAAAGTTTTATTATATTATGAAATATCAATATGTGTCTAACTTAGAATAAATAATGCAATCAAACCTTATACACATGCTATATAAATATTATGACTTTATTTTTATATAACTAAATATTAATGAAAATTATATATATATATATGTAATTTATATATATATATATAATTTATATATATATATATATATATATATATATATATATATATATATATATATAAATAAAGGTTATACTCCGTATTATGAAGCTTTATATCAATATCTGATAATAGAATGTGTCTTTATATGATAAAAAAATATTACAGTCAAGTTAATATTATACTTCCTCCGTTCTTTTTTACTTAACCCGTTTTGACTTTTACACTATTCACCATCTCTCCTTTGACCGTCTTTTGTGAATGATATATATAAGGAAAAATATATTCATGTGAGATCTTTTTTAATTCATCTCAATAAGTACTATCATAATATACAAATATAATAACTTTTACTTATAATGGAGAATTTAAGTTATTGATCGCTAAAATTTTGCATTGACAAGCTTAATAAAAGAAACTGGTCAAATAAAAAAGAATAGAGGAAGTAAATAGTGTAAAAAAAAGTTCATGTGTTCGTTATTTAGGGATGGAGGGAGTAACATTTTGCCTTTCACAATTGTTTTGTATATTTACAATTTTGTACAGTTATTATCTCCACTTTTGTTTACAAATTTGAACGTTGATTATCTCCACTTAATTATTTGAAAAGAATAATGTATAATAGGTTGATACTCTATATAAAATACATATTTAATTAATTAGATGAATCAAATAATTAAAAAATAAAAAGATCACATGTCATTTTTTAAATAAATCAACTACTTTATTCAATTGTGGAGCTAAAAAAAAATAAAAATGTTGATTTCTTCACGAAAATACCCTTATAAAAAACAAATTTCGTTTCAATTTTTTATTCTATGTTTGATAATTTTTCATTTACTAATTAAATGTTAGCTTGAAGGATACATATTCACGATAAAAAAAAAAAAAAAAAAAAAAAAAAAAAAAAAAAAAAAAAACCCACCCGTATAAATTACGAACGATGATCAAAGGAAATTGACGATTATTTGTACTTACCATTATAACTCCTTTTATATTATCAGTGGTCATAGAAAAATGATCGGGATTATTGATATTATCCACATGATGTCTTAAAAGAACATCAACCAAATCTTCATCCTTTGGATCTAATAATGTTTTATTAGATTTATGTTCCTCAATAATAGGATCAAATATCCTATTTGTTTCCTGAGTAATTATTTCAAAATTTCTTTTCATTCCACTGATTCTGTGAAGAAATGGTATTGACGGATAAAGGTCTGCACTACAGAATCCCGTACAATGCTTCGTAACGCTTGACAATAATTTTCTGAATGGTTCTTGCTCGTTGCCTTTCGTACTGAAAGCTGACCTGATATATGAATTGAAATAATTAACTGATTAGTATTGTATTATTCTATACTCGTATTCTGGTATATGCAGCATGCATGCATGGACCCCCCCTCATAACCATCTATCTCTTAAAAAAACGAGAAATATATACGGAGTACTACTGATGTTCTTATTATTTGCAACAAAGGATAGGATCCTTTGTTGCAAATACCACCTCTATTTTATACTCCATATTTTTGTACAACAAATGAGCTTTTACGGACTTCTAGGCAAAATTTATTTTTTAGTGTTGAATGGAGAGAAAAAGCTAATGATGCATGTGATGAGGAGAAATATAGAGATAAATAACTACCTAAAAAGGAAAGAAAACATTTGTTATACATACTCCGTAATATGTAAATGCTACAAGAATATGACATGGAGGTAGTAACAAGAAACAGAGGTCTGTTTTTTTTTTTTTTTTTTTTTTTTTTGAGGTAAGTTATATTTTAGTTGCTTTGTTTCATACAAAACTTTATCCATCAATAAATTATTGTTATGAATATAACAAGATTTCATATAAATATGTAATTTACAAAAGAGAAGAATGAGGAGATGGAGGGACGGTTAGTCCCTCCATCTCCCCCCCCCCCCCTCCTCAAGTGACGGGGGTTTGATTCCTCACAACAGTCCCCAGTTCTTCTGTAGGGTGGGGGGTCCTTCCGTCCTTCATGTACGTAGTTTATTGTTAAAAGAAAATATAATTTACAAAAGACAATTAAATGAGGGGTGGCGGTCTGGTGGATATATATTGTAAAAATCAAAATAAATCAAATAATAATAAAAATAACAGAAGAAGAATATGATGTATACAAACCTTGTTAATGTATCACAAGAAAGAAAATATGCTTTCCTGGTGAGATTAACAACACGGCCTTGTTCAGAGGCTAAGGAGTTGATGAGATTAGTAACCTCTTCGACTCGAATGGGCTGAAACGACTGAACTCGCTTAGAGGTAAAGAGCTCGAGCACGGAGATCTTACGTACATTCCGCCAGTACTCACCGTAGGGAGCCAACCCGATATCGGTGCAGTTGTAAAACACTTCTTTGGCAATCATAATAATAGGACGATTACAGAAGACAGAGTCATGAGTTTTCATAACTTCCTTAGCCATATCGGCGGAAGACACAATGATGGTCGGCACTTGGCCTAGTTGAAGCTGCATCACCCTCCCGTATCGCTTCGCTAGCTCGGCGAAGCGGCGATGTGGGAGTGTGTGTTTGGATGCAACTTGGTGGAGGTTGCCTATCAAGGGGAGCTTTGGAGGGGATGGAGGTGATTTTGGTGAGGTTTTTTTCATGGATTTTATCATATGATACATGAATATTATTATTATTGCTATTAACATAATAAACATGTCAAACTAGAGATAATAGAATGAATAGAGTGTTATCTTTTGTATTACCGTATACACAAATATATATACAACCTAAGTAATTAGGGCGGAACACTACACCGGCCCATTAACAATACATAATATATGGTCCAACACCCCCCCTCAAGTTCACAAATGCCCAACTTGCCAAGTAAATACATGAATTGTTGCTTGTTTAACGCCTTAGTAAAAATATCCGCAAGTTGATCCGTCGTTTTCACATACGACGGACTAATAATACCATCCTGAATTGCATCGCGGAGATAATAGCAATCAACCTCAATGTCAAGAAAATATTTCAACACACCCAAATCTTTCATATGAAAACAGTCACTCAAATAAGATTTGAATGAAGAAATTGCAGAAGAATCATTCTCAGAAATAATCAAATCATCAACATACACCAGAACACTAAGTTGAATAGCCCCAGATTGCAGAGTAAAAAGGGAGTAATCAGAGTACGATTGGATAAAGCTGTACCTTTTCAGAGAAGAGGCCAACTTAGAGAACCAACAACGAGGGGCTTGCCGTAATCCATATAAGGACTTGAGAAGACGACAGACTAACCCAGAATGAGAACCATGAAAACCAGGTGGAAGCTTCATATAAACCTCCTCATCAAGATCACCGTGTAGAAAGGCATTATGGACATCCATTTGGTGCAATTCCCAATTTTTCGCAGAAGCCACCGCAAGAAAAGCACGAACAGTAACCATTTTTGCCACGGGAGCAAACGTCTCGTTATAATCGATACCCTCAACCTGATGATTACCAAATATAACAAGATGAGCCTTTAATCTTTCAATTGTGCCATCGGAATTAAGTTTGACCTTGTATACCCAACGACACCCCAATGCTTTCTTTCCCGGAGGCAACTCTTCCATCACCCATGTTTTATTCTTTTCAAGAGCAGAAATCTCCTTTTGCATTGCCTCTCTCCAACCATCGTGCTTCATAGCCTCATTAAAATTACGAGGCTCAACAATCGAATCCACAGCTGCAATAAACACACGATGTGGCACAGAAAAGTTAGTACAATTCACAAAATGTGCTAAGAGATAAGGAGTACCTGAGGAGCTTGGAGCAGACGGTGAACAAGGAGAGATAGATGGACTGTCAAGAGTAATAGTATGTGCGACGTAGTCGCGATGCCAACCCGGAGCCTGCCTAGGCCTTTGACCACGGCCTAGGTCCGGTGTGGGAGCAGTAGAAGAGGTCGGAGCAGCCACGTTTGGGGCCGTGGTGCTGCTGTCCGTACCAGCAGTTTCTGCTGCTGTGTGAGCCGTGTCAGCAGCAGCCGCAGGTGGCCTACGGTGGGGGCTGCTGTCCCGAGCAGTGGCCGGAGATGTGGCAAGGGTGGGGGGTTGAGGTTCGGGCACAAGAGACCCCTCACCCACCTCCAAAATATACTCCAAGTCGTCCAAAAAATCATGATCAACCCCAACATTTTCGTGAGACATATCCGCAACATTTTCAAGACTAGAAACCGGCTCATTCCCTTTCACAAACGGAAATTCATTCTCAAAAAATTTAACATCACGTGAGACAAAAATTTCACCGGTATCTAAATCATACAATTTCCAACCCTTCTTGCCATGAGGATAGCCTAAGAACACACACTTCCTACTCCGGGAAGCAAATTTATCCCCCTTAGCCTTTTGATTATGAGCGAAACAAAGACACCCAAACACCCTTAATTCATCAAAATTGGGTTCCTTACCAAAGAGAATTTCAAATGGGGATTTATTGGATAGAAGAGGGAGGGAGTACGATTAATTAAATAAACCGCACTTAGAACACATTCTCCCCCAAAATCAATCGGTAAGTTACCTTGAAACATCAAAGCACGACTCACATTTAATATATGTTGATGTTTACGCTCTACTCTACCATTTTGTTGTGGGATGCCAACACAAGAGGTTTGAAATAGAATGCCATTTTCATTAAAGTACGGGAGCATGGGTTTGAACTCCGTACCATTATCACTCCGTACATATTTAACATGAACATCAAATTGGCATTTTATCATAGCAAAGAAAGAGAGAAAAGATGAATAAACCTCAGTTTTATCATTTAGCAAATAAACCCAAACACCTCGGGAAAAATCATCAACAATAGTCAAGAAATAATGAGCACCACAAGTAGACGGTGTCTTATACGATCCCCACAAATCACAATGAATCAATTCAAAAATACGACTAGCTCTACTATCACTATTGGGAAAAATATCCCGAGATTGTTTAGCCTGTGGACAAATTTCACATGCTTTATTCAAGAATTTGCTACTAGAACTAGCACTAACAGCAGGCACTAACTTGACAATAGGATCCGACGGATGTCCCAAACGACGATGCCAGAGCTCAAATGTAGAAACCTCCGAAGATGTCAGCGCACATACTTTAGGAAGTCGCCGGAAATAGTAGAGTTCATCTATCCGTTCACCGCCTCCAATCAGGCTCCCCGAGTGTTGGTCCTGTATAGCACATAAAGAATCAGTGAATCGTACATAACAATGAGAATCATCAATCATTTTAGACACCGAAAGTAAATTGCAATGTAATTGTGCAACAAATAAGACATGCTCAAGAATAATTCCGTCGGCCAAATACACACGCCCTTCTTTTGTAGCAAGAGCTTGTGTGCCATCCGGGAGGCCAACGGGGCATGAAAGAATTTCTCGCATATCCACCAAGCAAGATGCATCACCGGTGACATGATGAGAGGTGCCGGTGTCGATAATCCAAGAAGAGGAAAAATACTCACCACTCATTTTTTCTTGCTGATTATTAGTAACCATGTTCAACAGAAGGCGAACATGTTCCGGTTTAAGTTCAGATAAAGCAGAGAGAGTGTCAGTAGAGGGTACAACAGGAGGTCCAATAGAACCACCCATGGCATTAGCACGGGCCACGGGTTTGCTAGAACTTGCGGCAACAGCAGCCGTAGAGGCAGAGGCAGAGTGCTTGCTGCCTTGTTGTGAAACAGAGGATCCCGAATGAGATGCGCCCCCCTTCTTCCCATACTTTTCAAGCCACCAATCGGGGAAGCCGTGAAGGAGGAAGCAGCCCGTGGTGTCATGGCCTGAGCGCTTACAGTGAGAGCAAAAAAGTTTAGCTTTATCAACGCGAGCCGACTGAAATTGACGACGATCAGACGAAGGAAGCGCGAAGACATGGGCATCTTCCTTAGTCGCTGGGATTTTGGCTTGAGCAATACTCCGAGAGTGCTCTTCTTGCAGCAGAGCATGATAAGAACGCTCGAGGGTAGCAGGGGGCTGTTGAGATAGAAGGTTCGTTCGAACCAAAGCATATTTAGCATCATCAATGCCTACCAAAAACTGATGAAGAATCTCCTCATCCCTATCCTTCTCATACTTCGCAGCAACTCCACAAGAACACGCCCCACACTCACAGCCGTGTGGTGGTTTGAGGCGCGCAAGATCATCAAAATAACCAATCAATTGATTATAATAGTCCTCAACAGTCATAGTGCTTAATTGTTTGCAATTAGTAATTGAAGCCCTTAATTGCTGCAGTCGTGGTCCACTAGCGTCACAGTAGCGTTTGTCAAGATAATCCCAAAGACGTTTCGCATCATCGAAATAGGGAATAGAAATAGCAAGTTTCGGGTCAATTGTTCTCAAAATCCAGGATACCAGCATAGAATTCACCGTATCCCAATCCAGTAATTTCTTTTTGTCAGTAGGTTTGGAGATGGTGCCATCGACGAACCCAAATTTACGCCGAGATTTCAGAGACAGAGAAATAGCCCTAGACCATGAGAGATAGTTATCACTTTTCAAGATCACATTAGTAATAAGGTTTCCAGGCTGATCGCCGGAACCAAGATAGAAAAGGGAAGCAGGATCAATTTTGGTGTCGTCCACCATTGTCAATGAAGCAGAAAATAGGAGAAAAAAAAATAGAGTTTTAGGGTTTTAGAATTGTAGTGGCTCCGATACCATGTCAAACTAGAGATAATAGAATGAATAGAGTGTTATCTTTTGTATTACCTTATACACAAATATATATACAACCTAAGTAATTAGGGCGGAACACTACACCGGCCCATTAACATTACATAATATATGGTCCAACAAAACATTTGATTCTCCATGTTTGTAATAAGAGATTATTTTTCAAATTTTTTTTTGGAAATTGATTGCTGAAAATAGCTATGTTGTGTGATCAATTAATGGTATTTCCTGTCTTGTTTTATAGCTGAATTGGGACAAGTGGGTCACATAATCGCATTAGTCTAAGTGAAGTAGGTGTAATGGTGTATACTGTATATTACAAAAAGTATACAATTATTATTATTTTTAAATTATTATTCTCTATAAATTATTACGAGCTACTCCCTCCGTTTTTATAATTTGCTCCACTTTCCTTTTTCGGCCGTTTTTAAATACTTTCTCCATTTCCTTTTTTGGAAAGTTTTTACAATATTTAATTTATTTCTCACACTTAGTGGACCCAACATAATACTCCCTCTCCTCCTATTCTTCCACTACTTTTGCTTTTTACAATTTTTTATTTTCTCAACTACCCCACTACCTCTATATTTTATTACTTTCTCCAATTTATCCTAAAACTCCGCGCATGGAGAAATGGAGCAAATATTTAAAAACGCAGGGAGTATATTTTATTTTTTTTTTCCTTATAACTTTGAATCTGAGTCCGAAAAGTCTAAATCCGAGTCCAAATCTGACTCGTAATTTTCGTATCCGAATCCAATATAATCCGTTTATTCGGACCTTCGAAATGATTCGAATTTTTTTTAATGTATGATTTACCTATAATTGTTTGTATAGTCATACCCATTGTTATTAAAATCTCGATTTAAGTCTTAAAATCTTACGATTTTACGATTCATGTATATCTTACTATTCGATTTATGATTCTATTCGATTTTACATATTTTTCAGAACTAGCGAAATCCTTACAAGTAAAAAACATGTTTATATCGGTTTTCATAAATATATATTGTCAAGTATTAATTGCTTAATGGTTAAATAACTATTATCTATCAATAATTAGGTTTCAAACTCATAATTTCAATATATTTAATTAAATTTATATTTGACGTCTTGATTATTCATGTCGGTAGAATCTTACGATTCTACGATTCGATTCTGATAGCCCCTTTCGATTCAAATTAGAATCCCGATTTTAATAACTTTGGTCATACCGAGTAAAGTATAAACATGATACATTTAATTTATGAACCACTAGTGGAAAAAATCTCATCCGTAACAGGCTATTTGTAACGGGCAAATCTTTGCCCGTTACAATTAAGATATTTGTAACGGGCAAAATAGTGTTCGTTACGAATACTTATTTATTCGTAACGGGCAAAATAGTGTCCGTTACGAATAATTATTTATTCGTAACGGGCACTAATTTGTCCGTTACGAATACGTGCCTGTTACGAATAAATAAGTATTCGTAACGGACACTATTTTGCCCGTTACGAATACTATATTACACGTATGCCCAAACTTGGCCCAAATGATGAGAGGAGCCCAATACTTGGCTTTTTAGGGTTTCACCTCTTTCTCTCTCATCAATCCCTCACTCCCTCTCTCTCTCCTCTCCTCCCCTCCCCGTCATTCACCTTCCTCCCCTCCCCGTCATTCACCTATCTCCTCTCCTTCCCTCCCCTCTCCAATACTTGAGCAGCGGTTGCTATCATCTTGAGACAATCAACTTGACCGGCGACTTCATAAAAGAGCTCCCAAGCGGCGCCGTTTTTCGACGGAGGTGTAACCGGCGGTGAAGAGCAATTTAGTTTTTCTTTCTCAGATCTATGAGTTGATTTTTTAGAACGAATTAGAAGAGATTATTAACATATTACCGGAGGTGTAAACGGCGGTGTCGTAGAGAACTCATAGATCTGAGCAATTTAGTTTTTCTTTCTCAGATCTATGAGTTTATTGACTGAGCGAGGTGGCGAGTCAACTCGGCTAAGAACTCGGCCAAGAAATTATTAAGCTTCTAGTTATTGTTGCTGTCACCACGTTCAGTCTCACTGAAGCTAATCGGCGAGTCAAGGGACGAGTTAGGGTCAAACCTAACTATCGAAGAACAATTCTTAGATAATTTGGGATATCTTTGCCATTTTAGATCGTGAGGTAAGAAGTCCTTCATCAATTGTTTTTTTCCTTTTCTTGAATTGATTTCTGAGCATCTAATTGTTTAAATTCTTGAATTTGTTCTTGTGTATTCTAATTTGCTTTATTTTTTTCTACATGCAATTTGTATTTGATTCATTTTTGGCATTTGGGGTGACATTGGGTAGTTTTGGGCATTTATGTATGATTCATTTGGGGTGATTCATTCAGTATGTTATCTTCATGTGCTTCTGTAAGTTTATTCTTGTTCATATCATTAATTTCTTGGTATTATTGCTAATTTTTGTTAAGCAATTGAATTAGGGTTTAGCTGCAAATTTTGTGATTTAATTTGGGTAGTGATCAAAATGCCGATACTAGTAGCTGGTTGAATGTTTAGGTATTCTAGTTGAAACACGACCAATTGAAGAGAGGGAATGATTCTGTAAGAGATAATGTTTGATTAGTGATTTAATGGTTTGCTAAAGTTGGATTTCTGTGTTACAATAATTATAAAAAATAATAGTTGGAGACTACAATGATTAGTGATAATGATTTTGTAGCCGGTGGTGTTGGAAGCTTATGAAAATAATTATAATGTCAAAATAATAGTTGGAGGCTGCATTGATTCTTGGTCAATTGATTTGTGTTGTTTTATCTGTAATCTGTAATCTGCAATGATGTTGTTTACGACATAAATGGTAAGTTGTATATGTATGTCGCGATTACACACTTCACAGCTTGATGCATACTTGGATATTTACATATGTATTGTCTCATTACAGGAAGAGAGGCAGTTGAGGTAGAACCAATATTGGATGCACTTCCAAAATTAGAGCCATAAGCCTAGTCTTCTAAACTGTGTTTCTTTAGGAGTCAGGCAGATAGCAGACAGTCAAAGGATAAGTCTGTCTTGATATTTTAAATTCAGAAAGTGACTTACAATCCATTCTTGTACTTACCAGATATATTTACTGCTCGTCCGCTGGTGTTTATCTCAAATCAGACCTCTTACCATACTGTGAGGTAATCCAATGACTATAATTACAGAGTTGCATATGTGATGTGCACTGCACCATGTCTAACAACATGGAGTTAGAACATAGAAGTTTAAATAGTTTGTAGTATATTAATCTCACATTGACATGACTGGTAACACTATATTTTCAGGCAGATGCTGTTGATCCAAAGAGTAGGCACAAGGGAAAGCTTGACACCAAGAGCTTGCTTTAAACAAGGGGTGTAATTACGTGATTTTGGGGGTAATTATGTGATTTTTTGATTGATTTGAATTTTGTTTTGTGGGTTTATGACTTATGAGGAATTTTGATCTTAATATGGTTAATAATGTGTGATGTAAATTCGAAATGAACCTTTTTTTAGATGATGGGACTTATGCTATGAAGAAAGTATTGATACAAAACAATGAGCAACTGGACTTGGTCAGGGAGGAGATCCAAGTTTCCTCCCTGTTTACACATCCCAATCTGCTTCCCCTTCTTGATCATGCTATCATCAAAGTCAAGGTAATTGACTGTGTTTAGTTCCTTCTCTTTTCCCCTCCCCGAGCTTTATGTATGTTATAAATCCGGATTACAAGGTATTGAAACTTGAAAGCATGTATGCATGTACATAAATAAATCAATAATTTTGAATCCACAATCAATTATAAATATCAGTGTAAGGCTTTTTAAGGCGTTTTCAATACTTCCTGGAAGTTGTTTTAATCTAGTGTTGTTTCATAAATTCAAAAGGATATCTCTATCTTTGCCTAGTGCATATTAATATGCTTGAGAATTCAAACTTAAGTGATTTTTTTGTACCACCAGTGGGATTGCTTATTAGTTGGCATAATTTTGTGTGAATTATTAAAGTTTTAATTGTACGACTATTATGTTCACTTGATAATGGCTAATTTGAGTAACTTGTGAGATATTAAGTCTATCCTATGAGAATTAAGTTTAAAGAAAGGAAACAGACCCATTTGGAATTTTCGGAGCTTTATAGTCTTTTTTGATATGCAAATAATTGCATTTTCATCAGCTTTCTGTTCTTGTTCTTGGTTGCAGTATAGTAAAGTTGCTGATCATGATTACAACCTTGTAGCAGTGTAGTGGTCTCTCAATTTTGTGTATTGTGCATCTGTATATTAATATCTAAAAGTATCTTTAAAATTAATGTTTGCATTAATTAGGCCACTCAAGAGCAATCCTGGAAACATAAAGCGTACCTGTTATTCCTAGTTCATTTGGATGGAACTTTGCTGGACAACTCAACCGCTATGAAGGCTAATAATGCCCTTCTGGTGGAAGCTTAACTGTACAATGGCAAATAAGAGGAGAACGGTATAATTTTTTTTTTTTTTTTTTTTTTTTTTTTGAAACCAGGAAAACAAATGTACTTGAGATTTGGTTTAATTTAGCTGCTCTTTTAAAGCTTTAGTTAGTAGTTTATTAATATTAATTGTATATATTTTTTTTTTTTTGAAAGAAATATTAATTGTATAAAAATATATACAACTTGAAAAAAATGATAAAATGGTGTATGCTGGATTTTTTTTAATTTAAATATACAGTATTCGTAACGGGCAAACCATTTCCCGTTACAAATAACGGGATTATTCGTAACGGCCAAACCATATCCCGTTACGAATAACGGGGTTATTCGTAACGGGCAGTGCCCGTTACGAATAACAAAGGCCATCCGTAACGGCCGCATACGTAACGGACGCTGCTCGTTACGGATGGGCTGTTTTTGCCCGTTACGGATGACCTTTTTTCCACTAGTGAACTAAGTTACATAATAAATTTTTGCTATAAAACAAACAAGCAATTGTCCCAAGTTATAAAGCATATACTCATACTCTTGGAATCGGAGTCGGATTCGACTAATTTTAAACGGATTTGGATCGGTTTTTTTTTTCTTCGAATTAGATCGGATTCAAATCAAACTCGGATTGAATTGCCATCCGTATCCCTAATCGTGCATAGGTGCATTTACGGGTTTTCAATTTATATTTTAATAAATGAGAAGTTCATATGATATATTTTTTTTTTGGATAAAAATTAAAAGGTTAATCGGTTGCGCCTGCACATAACTTTTAATTATTTAATTCTAAAAGAAATTAATAATCTTGTATTTAATTGGCTGCCACTAAAATTTATTATCTTACATGGCGAGCTGAAAAAATTAAATCCTACTTGGCTCTCTAAAAACTCGGAAAAAAAAACTATTCTTTATATATATATTAGATTTTTTTTGAAGGCATTTGTAAATATTATACTCTATTTGTCTATTTGAAAAAGAGAAGGAGACATGCATACACCTAAGTGACTCAATAATGTGCAGATACTCTATCAAAAAAAAAAAAAAATACTACATCCGTTTCATATATATTTTTTGCAATTTGAAGTATTATTTGTGAGATATAAAATATTCATAAGTTGAAAAAATATGAAATGGGGGTAGTAAATAGTTATTTTTTTTCTTTTTTTTTTTTTGAAACACTCACCATTCACCCAAAAAAAAAAGTTAAAAAATTGAAGACATGAAACGGGGTAGTAAATAGTTTTTTTTTTTTTTTTTAATTGAGCTGAGTTTATGACGATGGTTAGGTGGATATGACGAGATCGAGTGTCGGGTAAAATTCTACAATTATTTGATTAGAAATTACACAGGGTATTTCGTATTTCTAAGTTTAGATTTAACAAAGGGAAAATTTGCAAATTGCAGCTATTTAAGGTTCGTATTTTGCAACTTGCAGCCATTTAAAAAAAAATTGCAAATTACAGCCCAAAAGTTCATATAAATTGTAAATTGCAGCTCGATTCAACTTTTTCATCGGTTTACATGTCGAAAATCTTCGATTAAGGATATAGGGGTCATTTTAGTCCTTAGGGTTTTGAATTGAACTTGAAATTAGCAAAAAAAATAACATTAGTGGCTCGTTTTACATAACAAAAATGTATCAATTTGTGGAAAACTGTAAAAATGAGACACTTAAGGGCTTGTTTGGCATCATTTTTGGTTTTCAGTTTTCTGTTTTTTTTAAAACCAAAAACAGGAAACAAGAAAAAGGTATTTTCACTTTTCCTGTTGTCAGTTTTCAAAATTATCATGATTTTAATAAGTCTATATATTTTTTGATTCATTATGTGACATATATAATACACTTTTAAAAAACAAAAAACAAAAAACAAAAAAACAGAAAATCACAGCGATGCCAAACGAACCCTAAGTTTTTTTTTTTTTTTTTTTTTTTTTTTTTTGCTAATTCATCCCTCACCAAAAAGTTTGACATAAATAAGAAATAAGGTGCACTCTCTCCTCCTTAATTTACCATCAATTTCACGAGGGATTTGTAGTTAACACAAATATATTGAAAAAATTTTCCCCTTTCAATCAATCCTTCCAAAATGCGTCTGAATTTCTTATGATACCCATAATTTTTTTTATGATCTGGATTTTGTTGACGGCCATTCCTTGGTAAACAAATACTTCAAGGTATCCTGTTAATTTATATTTTTATTTTTTTTATTTCACTAATTTACCATCCATTTGATTTATGATTGTCATCAATTTGAAATTGACATGAATGAATATGGTTAGAAATTTTGGTAGCACCTATTTTATCATCAATCAAAACTCTTGTTGCATAAAAATTGAAGGTGTTAAGCTTACAAAGATTTAATTTTTAGCTTTAAAATAAGTGATTAAATTTTAATTAAGATGGGAAGGAAAGAAGGAATTTTGGGGCTAATGAAATGTGGTTTTTTTTGGGTGCAAAATTGATTTTATTTTCACTTTATAGGTTATTTGATAGAGGCCAAGACAAGTTATCTTGTAAAAAATTAAGAAAACTTGACAATTTCAACATTTCAAGGAGCTCTTTAGTCTAAGCCTAATATATCATTGGCACATAAAGAGTATAGAGTTTGATTCCTAGATTCCTCTTGAAGTGCAAAATGTGATTTATTGGGTGTGTATGTGTGTGCACGCGCTTATTTATTTAAGGTTGAGCGTTATACTGGTATACTCCTTTTGTCTCTTAAAGATTACCTTTTAGGAATAAATTTACTTTTAAGAGCAAGACAATAATGCTATAACATTTGGGTATGTGAGAGGCAAAATTAGCGAGACCTATAACTAAGTTTGTGGTCCTCTATACCCATTTATGGTATGGGTCAAATTCTAAAAAACATTAAACAATGAGAATCGGAGCACAATCTTTGAGGTACAGGAGTATTTTGTATATTCAAACACAAAAAGCCTTTACAAGGAGCTCTTTTGCCTTGTGTTAGATAAAGATAGCGTAGACATTGTTTGAAGTCTTGAGATTAGTCATATATTTTGCATATGGAAGCTTAAGTAATAGAACCAATTCATTAGTTTGATAGATTGATATACTTCCTCCGTTCTTTTTTTCTTGACCCACTTTGACTTTTGCATTATTCATCACCCTTTCTTTGACCATTTTTTGTAAATAATATGCAATGAAAAATATATTCATGTGAGATATTTTTGAATAAGTACTATCATAATATGTAAATTTTAAAAATTTTACTTATAGAGAATTAAAGTTATTGATTGTTAAAGTTTTGCATTGGCAAGCGTGATAAAAGAAACATGTCAAGTAAAAAAAAAAGAACAGAGGAAGTATATCCTTTTTGGTATCCAACGCGAACACCTCCAATTCTTTGTGCTGTGGAATATTTAGGGGTCAAACAATAGCATTAGAACTTAATGTTATTGTTTATTGCAATGTCGCTTGATGAACAAAATGCATTTTTTTTAGCTGAGATGCACCTTTACATGGTCTAATAGGGCTTAAGTATTGAATAAGAGGTGTTAGTGGTTACTGAGGAGATGATTTGTTATTCAGGAGTTAGATTAGGATGGCTCTATGGTGCTGCATTGTGTGTTAAATAAGTATATGAAGTTTATTATTCTACTAGCATGTACAACTCCTTTGAACCTCGAACATAAAGCATTCACATCTATTAGATTTAGTTTCCAAAATGATTGAAGTTTTGTTTCTAGCTGTATAATTAAGGAATGCCTTGAGGAGTGTTCTTGAGACTATTAATTTCGTAGCAAATTAGACTCGTTTTCTTGCTTAAGAATGGATTATTGTGTGTCCTGCAAAACCAAATGAGGCGTTAAGGACTTAATGGGCGAGGCTCATGGAGAGAGCTTTGATGCTTCTTTAGTGTAAAAGCCACACCTCTGCCTTAGAGAGCTTATCTAACTGAATGACTTATAAAGTTTCTTAGTTACAGTAATGGAAATTTGAACATTTGTGTTTGTGTGTGTGTGTGCGCGTGCACCTTAATATTATGTTGCTTGATACTGCATCTGAATATTGAACTCTGTACTGAATATTTAGTGAGTTGGTCTCATATACACTTCTTGTCTCCATCATTAAGGCCACATTTTTCTCTTGTTCAGTGTTTGACTTCGCCTCCATTCGTTTCTTATAGGGGATTGCTTTAATTGTTAGAAGGCTGGCTTCCCACGCTTAATGGGACAGTGCTGGTCCTGCTGTAGCAGGGTAAATTTCTTATCTTGGATCCTTCATTGTATTGCTGTTTAGTCTTCGCTAGCATAATAATTGTGACTACTAACTACATTAATGCCTTCAATTTTTATTTTTTCATTTTTTTGTGATATCTCTTCTGTAATCATGTCTTCTTATAGTAAAATATATAACTCGTATTATAATGTAACTTATTGTTTTTTTTTTTTTTTTTTTTTGCATGAGCGGGTGTTTTTTTTTTTAAAAAAAAAAAATGCTAAGTGGTGACTCTGGCTATTATCGATTCACAAACGTTAAGGATTGTAAAGGGTCATTTTTTTTTAATTCTCCTTTATTCACCTTCCTTAAATTAGAACACATATGCAAAAGGGAAATGAAACTTGTATTTTTTATCTTTAGCAGATTTTATCATGTCTTGTACTCTTGTATGTTTATAAAAGAAATTTATTTGAAGTTCCTGAGTCATTTTTTCTTGTATAACTTGTCCTTCGTGCATTGTGAACACTAGCTTTAGAACATACTTCGTCTTATATTAAGTAGTTCATTTCATTGTGATTAAGGCAAATTGTGATTAAGGCAAATTGTGATTAAGGCAAAGGTTTCTGTTTAGCAGTTTTTATTCTTTTTGATTATGCATCAAGTCATTAACTATGGATTATAAATGTACACCTTTTCATGAAAAATACTTAAATTTTATAGTTATGCAATTGCAAAGGAAATCATAAACTACGCCAAACTGGTGGAAAGGTTCAACATATAACCAAAGAAGAGAGTTGGGAAGAAATGATAAAATTGTAAGTTAATTACTTTTCATCCTTTTTTAGTTTTTAAATCATCCTTAGAAAGCTATATGACAGTTTGCTCACTAGACTTAATACTAGTTATCTTCTACAAATTTGGCGTTGTTGGATAACCTTTTCCAATTCGCACTCAAAACATTTTGTAGCAGTCTCTTCCTTGAGCTCTTTACATTACTCTTAGCTA